ATTTGACACTAATTATATTCTCGCGTAAGTAATTTTAAAATACGAGCTAATCGGGTGCGACGCAAGTGAGAAAGAGAGAGGACCCTGAGAACGAAGTTGTGCTGCCTCCTGCACTGAATGATATATTTGACGTCACATCAGATGCGTGCCTCAAAGGCTGCTTGGTTACTAGATAAGCAGGAAAACAAGATGGCGCCGCTCGAAAGGTTATTTCGCGAAGTGATCTAGACTTTGGAGACTTTCCAACTAGATGGGAACGGCTGCTTCTGCAAATAGACGAGACTCGGACCTAATTAGTCCTAGGGCTGAGGCACTTGCCAAAGAAAACGGGGTAAGACAAACAGTATCGTATGTAACTTACAAATACAAACGTTGCTACCCAGTTGACCATCTGTGCTCTGGTACTGTCCAGACGCTGCTCGACATCATGGAATCTATTTTTTAGATGTTTGCGATAAAAATCGGACGGTTTCTTAAACATGTTTCTCCTTTAATCTCCAAGGATTTTAAATCCTGCATGGGTTTCTTTTAGTTTCAAGCTGTTGAGTCTTCGCCACTTTATCTTTTCACCATTGTCCGAAGACATGTTGTAAGTCAGACCTGCCTGCTTGGCTCCCCGTTACGCACTCTCAGACCTGATATATGAATCACATAGCACAGTCATGCCTATTTGCAAAAAAAGCCTTTTTTTCAACATCAAATCAACAGCAGCTGATGTTAGATTCCCCAGCCTTGATCGATTTAGGACATGGAACAGTTCGTTATCGTCTCCCAGATGAAAAGAGAGAACAGGAAAATATGAAAGTCAAAACAGGATACTTCTATCATCCTAGGCTTGATGACTTCAGCGAAGGTATGACTCATATACACAGATTTGACTGAAGAACTTAATGCAAGTGGTGTTCCTAAACATGAAAAAATTCAATCATTTCCAAAACACGTATGTGTGGGTGAATGGAAAAAGATGAACCTAAATTAAGTTTTACTTTTGTGTTTCAATTTTATCCTGGGTTTGAATTGGTGTTTTGTTTGTTTTGGGTTGGTGATGCATATATTCTGTAATAGCATCTAACTCTTTTACTCCCAAGATCTGAGTAGTAATTCTCTTTACTGTCTGTCATACAATTCTTATGACGTTAATTTGAGAATTCAGTATTGGATCAATTAATAATCCCAAAGTAGATCTTTTTCTTTTTTTCCTCGTCACTTGTCTGGTTAATTATGTATTGATGTTGTAAGGAGAAACTATGTCTTGAGAGTGAAAGGG